TGTCCCTCTGCCTGTTTCCTTCTGGTTGTATGAGATAGAGCCAGTTTTGACCACCAACAGCCAGGCTCCTACAAGCGTTTCTCCCCACAGCATCAGCATCAGTGATTCCCCAGTTCCTGGAGCATCATTGAGGTGGCACATTCAGAAATGGAGAGGAGTTGAGCTGCAGGATCCACCTGAGCTCTGGCCCGGGGGTGCTGGTAATCTGTCCATGCTGGATTTCATGCCTATCTGCCCTGGGTAATTGTGTATCAAGTAATGAAGGCATCATAACCAATGTATTTGCATAGAAAGCAGAGGTACAAAAGCCGATAGTCCCATAATAGTAGCTGATAAGTGAATGGCAGGCGTAATCAAGAGATTAATTGGCCCTCGTGTGTTAATTATGCTAATTGGCACAGCTGCTCATGTGTGCAGCACGGTGACTAACGGCTCCACAGCCCCATGTGAGCTGGATGAAGAGCTTGGGGTCACCCCAAGCTGCTTGCTGCAGTGACAGAGCCCGGCGAGGGGGGTCCCTCTGACACGGGGGTGATGCCCGGTGCACAATGCTGTGGCTGGACAAGCCAACAGGGTGCTTTTAGCCTGAGTGGTTGCATTCATGGTGTGTTTGTAAAGGTGCTTTACAAGGGTGCCCATGGAAATGGGGGTTATTGGCTGAAGCATCTTCCCCCGGATCCGTGGGGTGGGATTGGGAAAGGGTGACCTGCACCATTCACTTGTAGGGGAGACTGCAGTGATGAGCTGGGTGAGAAAAGCTCCCACTGAGAGCATGGGGGTGCATCCAAATTCCTGGTGGGATCTCCTTCCTTGCTGGCACGTGCATGAGGCACTGGCTGTTGTCTCCCTGAAGCATGAATAATGCCACACCATCCTTCTCCGGCATGATCTGCGTGTCCTGGCCTTGTCCCTGATATATTTATGAATGATGAATAAATGATACAACAAGAAAAACCTCTCTGGCAGCTCAAGCCCTCTTTATTAATTCAGCAAGCAGCGGGTTTTCTCCAGCCCCAGCTCATCCCTGTGCTAGCTTGATGTCCTTCATGCCTTAAACTGGGTTTGTTCATGGGGGGCTCCTGCAGCCAAAGGCAGCCAGGGGACTGGGAGGTGATGCTGGTGCTGCCCGCAGCCCTGTCACCCAGCCTGGAGGCAGGACGTGGCACTGGGTGTCCAGGGGCTGATTCGCCCAACCTGCTGCAAACCACCCTGATGGGGACCCAGGTCCACACGGATGGGTGCCTGCACCCCTTTGCTCCTGTTCCAAAGGGAGAGGTGCAGCTCCTCCAGACAGCCCAGGAACCACGCTCAGCCCGAGCCCCGTGTCCCACACTAACAAAACCCCAAGTTTCCCTGCTCTGAAGTGGGATTCTCACACCCCACAATAGCTCCAGCCAAGCAGGTCCAAACACCAGGAGTGGGGTGGTGAGAAATCAAGTCAGGAATATGGGATGAAATGGGGATTCACTGGCATTAAAAGCTTGAATCTACTGGGTGAGGAACAGCTTTTATTCTTGTTTGGGTGCAAAAGAAACCAACAAGCAGCAAACACCCCCCCCTCCATTCACCACCTCCTGGCTCCTGCACCACAGTGAGGGCCGCATCCATCACTGTGAGCTGCATTTAACAGCTCTGAAGGAATTGCCCTTCCTGGCTGCCAAGTCCTCTGCAGACTTCCTTCAGGAATGAAGGACATCGGGGACCTTGTCCTTGATGTCCCTCCCTGGGCCACCAGGAGCTCAGGGTCTTCACTGAGCCCCTGTTTGATGGGGAAGGCTCCTTGCGCCCCATCCATGCTCCTTGGAAAGCCTTTGGCTGAGCAGGACGAGCCCCACGGTGGAAGCCTTTGCTGTGCTGTAGGAAGCAATATCGCATCCTCCCTTTGGGACGGCTCTGTTATGAGTTCTCCATTTGTCTACACAATTTCACCTCGTGAGATGAGAAAAGTCATTTCTCTGCCAGGCCTGGAGAGGAACCGCACTGTCAGTGCCTTTCCCCGCATCCAAAGGGTCTATTTACAGGGTGCTTTCCCACTGGAGTGTTAAATACTGTGTTTATAGGGGCACTGAACCCTCGCTGGCTCTGTTTGAACAGCAGCTCCTCCCCTGAGACACCGCACGCCTCTCTAAGGCTCATTAAGCAACACTCCCGATGCCATGGCTGAGCCTGCAGTGCACCAGCTCGGATCCCACTTCCCAGCGCACTGCCAGGGGGATGTGGTCACCCATCAGGAGCAATGACGGTAAAACAGCACTGAAATGCCATCTGATCACAACGGGACATTGAAACATCCCCCCCAGCTCCCTTGTCCCCATGTCAGGCATCCCAAGGAGGAGCGAACCCCACTTGGCTAACACAGGAGAAGGGGAATGGGAGTTTGGGAAGTGCTCATTAATCCTGGCTGGAGACAACTCCTGCACGCCAGGTAGTGCTTTTTCAAGCAGCATCACTGCTTCGCTTCCAACCTCTCTCCAACAACTTCTGAGTCACTGCAATAAATACTGCCTGCGTTTGCTTTCTGCTCCAGAGCCCCTCTAACTGCTGATGGATAAATTGCTGGAGTTACCCGGGATAAATCATGCAGGGCAGACAAATCTGTAATTAAAACGTCTCTCAACCGCTCAGTTAACGCTGCCTTAGAGGGACCGGATGCACTGCAGCTGCCGGGAACAACCTGCGTGGGACTGGGCTCTGAAAGATGGGTCCTGGGAGGTGAAAGTGAGGATTCCACACAGCTCCCTTGGGAATACCGTGGCGCTGCTTCATTCCCCATCAAAAGGGTTGGGGTACCAGGATTGATGGCACAAATAGGGAGTTTCTCAAGACCTTTTATCGGCTGAAATGCAGCTTTTGAGTGCGCCAGTGCTTTGCACTGGTCCATGGAAAGCAAATCATTGGCGTGGAGCTGGGTGGTTTCTCCATCCCAGTTGCTGCACTGGGAGGGAACAGCAAATCCCGGATGTTTAGACCGATCTGTGGGGAGGGAATGCTGCTTCCCAGGAAAAGGTAGAAAGTGATGCTTAAAATCCCTCTGCCCCAGGCTCACAGCCCTGGCCTTGGGGTTTGCTCCTTGCTTTCATTCATCAGCAGAGTGCAGGAAGATGCAGGCCAGGGGCAGCTTCTGGGCTCTGCTTTTCCTGTGAAAGCCACATATTACACTTAGAGCATCCTCAAATCAGAACAGAGCTGAGCCAGGTTGCTCTGAGCTGAAGCTGGGGCTGGCCTGGCAGTTTGGGGGCTATGAATTGGCTGTTTGGGGGCAGTGTAGGAGCTGGATCCTGCTCATCCTAATGAAAGGCACATCACCCCATGGAAATAACCCCGGGTTTTCAGAGCATTCCTATGGGGACACAGGCCCATCTGTGAACTGGGTTAGGACAAGGGGACAACAGGGATAGGGCAGCAACCCTGCCCCAGCATCGCAGGGGCATCCTCCACCCCATCCCATGCCCATGAGGTGCTCAGGGGAAGGCAGGCACCAGGCTCAGCACCTCCATCCTCCCGTCTCTCGGGAAGGAGCAGGAACCAGTTTATTCCTGATGGGGAGAACGGAGCTGCAGTGATGGGCACTGGGGACAGCCTGGCCCAGCGCTGCCTGCAATCAGCTGCCAAATGGGATTGCGTGGCCGGGCTTTTTACACACGGATGTGTGCGATGAACTCGCAGCCTCGCCTGCTCCCGAGAGGGATGAGCGCAAACACGAGCGAGCTGAGCCCCTCAGCTCCCTCTGCATCCCCGTTAAACCCCACTTCCACGCCTGCCAGGTTTGCCATGACCCAGGAGCAGGCGGAGCAGGATGTCGGGGCTGTTGGGAATGGGGAAACGCCTGCACTGTGGCTGACCAGCCTTGTCCCTGCCTGGCTCTCATGCACAGCACCCATAGACCAGTGTGCTGGATTGGGACCTTGACCAAGAGGATGGATAGTTTCCTCCCTCACCCCAACAAAGACCCACCATCCTGACAGCTCCAAAGCAGGATGGCACCTGGGGACAAGGGGATAACTGAGCTCCTCCTGGGTGCTTTACCCCATGCCAAAGCACAGCGCATCCTCCCAGGGGCAGCGGTGAGTGGCTCAGCTCCGGGTAGAAGCTCAGCTTGGGCTGGCCCATCAGCCTGAGCCACCTAAGCAGTACTGCCCCTAAGCTGCCACGGCTTCAGTGGTGATTTTCTCCCTCACCACCCTCAAGATCTCCCTTCCCTGCATGGCCCAGACCCAAAGAAATGCCCCCAAACCTTCCAGCTGGAGGAGACATCCCCAGTGATGCTGGCACCATCTCAGCACCGTTAAAGATGTCCTGGATGTGGGGACAACTCACCCCACCATGCACCAAGGAGCTGGGGATGGTTGATGATTTCATCCCCAGCCCAGTGCCTCGATGCTAATAATATTAATGATGCTTCTGAGCACCGGGTTAAAAACAGCACCAGCTCTGAATCCAGGCTGTAGCTCAACCCCCCTAAATGAACCCACCACCATCCCCTCCCTAAGCAGAGCTTGACACCAGCTCATTTCCCCCCGTCTTGCTTTTAGAAACAGTTCTTCTATAGAACATGATGCGGGCAGGCAGCAATCCAGCACTGGCATGGCTGTCTCCCTGCGCTGAGTGATGGGTGAGGGCAGCACAAGGGCTGTGGTGGCAGTAGGGGACCAAGGGACAGGGCTGAAAGGGGGACATAAGAGTTTGGGTTGGAAGGCACCGTAAAGCTCATCCAGCTCCAACCCCTGCCACAGGCAGGGACCCCTTCCACTGGAGCAGCTTCCTCCAAGCCCCTGTGTCCAACCTGGCCTTGAGCACTGCCAGGGATGGGGCAGCCACAGCTTCTCTGGGCACCCTGTGCCAGCGCCTCAGCACCCTCACAGGGAAGAGCTTCTGCCTAAGAGCTCAGCTCAGTCTCCCCTCGGGCAGGTTCAAGCCATTCCCCTTGCCCTGTCCCTACAGGCCCTTGTCCCAAGCCCTTGTCCCAAGCTGCATCCCAGAGACCACGGTGAGCCTGGGAATCATTGTCCAAACCAACCCCCACCCCCATTTATTTGTCAAGGCACAAAATTCCCCTTCAGATCCTGGATTTTAAATAAAACCAAAACCCAGCACCAGAGTCCTCGAGGGCCTTCACCCCCGGAGCGGTACCAGGGCCGTGCCACCTCGGTCACCATGGCAGCTTGGATGCCCCAGGTACCCAGCAGCAGTGGGAGGACCCCCAGACACGTTCTGGGGCAATGACCCCCAGTCCCATGCTCAGCCCCATGCACCAGCTGGGTTTGTCCTCACCAGTGCTTCAGCCCCCAAAGCAGCAGCTTTGTCACCATGGGGAGGCCAAGGGGGGGCTTCACCCGGCCAGCAGGTACCCCCCCCCCAGCCCTGCCTTCTGTCACCTGGGATAATTCAAGGCAGGAGATAACAGCCCCAAGGGCACTTTGCGTTTAAGGCAGAAATGAAAGTCCAGTGGGAACCACAGTGGTGCAAGGGGACAAAAGAGTCACCCCCACACATCCCCAGAGTGGTACCACCATCGGGGACAAGAGCACCAGCTCTGCACCCCGGTGCCTGGGAGTCCTGCAGCTCCCCATCCATCTTCCCAGAGCCTCCAGGGCTCCATGTGTTGCTCACTGAGCCCATCACCACTCTCAAGGCCTCTGGGCTTAAAAAGGGCAGCAAAGTTTGCCCTGGAAGGCACCTGGAAGGTGGCTGGCTCAGCTGCGGCCACGCAGGACCAGGAACAGAAGGTGATGGTGGGGGGGGGAATGGTCGACCCTGGTTGCTCTCGGCCCCATGTGGGGATGGACAGATGGACAGGGAAGAGCCTCCACCGTGCATCATCCCTGGGAAGGATGCACCGGTCCTGGGGGCTCACTGGGGATAGAGAGATTCAACTGCTCCCCAGCCCCAGGCACCCCAAAGACAAGGCTGGGGACAGAGGAGGGTGTCGGGGCTCAGGATGAGGGGTGGCAGCAGGTCCATGCCCTTGCCAGGGGCCCTGGAGCTCATCCCCACTGCGGCTGGTGCAGGGCACAGGCACTGCTTGGGGGCATCCCAGCTCCCATCAGTCGATTTCTTGCTCATTATCTGGGGAGAAAAAGAGAAGACTGAATGAAAACGTGCAAAGACGTTAACAAAGACTCATTCCCAAGCCCAAACGAATGAGTTCATCCAGCTGACAACAGCTCTGGGCTGTACTGGCTCTGGAAAACTGGGATCCCCACTCCCAGGGCCGATGCCAGCCCCGGTAAATAAGCCGAGGCACATGTAGGTGTGTTTTTATCCCTCCCTCCATCCTCCTGGATAGACACCCCCCCTCCTCCTCCAGCTGGCAAGCCCTGGCAGATGGTAATACCCAAGCTTTATTGCTCCTGTGACAGTGGCTGAGGTGCAAGCAGATGTCTTTGACATGGGGTCAAGGAAACAGGGTCCACTGTGGAGGGAAAGCCAAGAGGCTGGGAAGCTGAGCATGGGCTGGAGAGGCTGGAGAGGGAGGTGAGGGCAGGGAGGAGGAAAAGAAGGAGGAGAAGTGGGGCCGGCTGATGCTTCACTAAAGGTGGGAAGGGGAAGGGAGAAAGGGCTTTTATTAACTTAGTGGTGGGGAGGCAGAAATGGCATGAGAGGAAAACCAGGGCTGTTAATAAAAGAGGAAGGAGGGTTAAATGAGCAGAGAACAGCAGCAGCAGAGGCCAAGCTCTGCCTTTAATAGGAAAGGGAATGAATTAAAAGATTGAGATCTTGGAATGAGGATGAGCTGGGGAGGAGCAGGGCTGACCAAGCACGGAACCCACTGGAGTGCGTCACAGGGCTGGGGTGCATGATAGGCTGTTGGCAGCACCGAGCCAGGACGCTGGGAAAAGGTCCTCAAAGGTAAAACCAGGAGCTGGGGCCCCACTTCCCATGGGTTTCCAGCAGGATTTCAGCATCAGGCTCCTGCTGGAGAATTCTGCATGGGGAGGGATGCAGCTCACGCAAAGTGAGGACCAACTCCATCCCTTCCTCTCCTCTTGGCAACACCCGGAGACAGACCCAGGTTCCTCAGGCTTTTCCTGCCCCCCGCCAGTGTCCAAGAAAAGGAAGGATAAGAGAAGAAACACCATGTCAAAGCCATCAGCTGCATCACTCCATCACTGCTGGGAGACACGGCTGGTGACCAGAGCTAGTGCAGCCCTAACTGGAATGGAAATGGGTGATGGGAAATAACTGATCTAAGAAAATCTGATTGAGAACTGGGGGACAAAATGAAATAAATATGAACAAATTGAGACACCCCACCCCAAAACCCAGTGAAGGATGATGGAGATGCAATAGATGCTTTCCACTCAGATCTGAGCATCATCTCCAGTGCTCTTAGGAGGAAACCTTCATCACGAGCCAGCTCATGGTCCTACACTGTTGCCTGGCAAATGCACTCACCCTCTTTGCTCTCTGTGCTCTTCAGGAGCTGCAAAGCTGCAAAAAGCAGAGCAGCACTTGGTCAGTCAAGGAGGAAACAACCGAGAGCCCTGTTTTGGGCAACCCACCCCAATAATTGCCAATTTCCACTGCAAACCAACCCCTGGTCCCTAAATCGCACCAGCAGGAAGGAGCCAGCATCCCAAGCGGGCTCCTGCACCAGCAGATAAAGGCAATCACTTGGGCACATGATTCACCTGTTTGATGACAGCCGAGCATCACAAGTGCTTTTCTCTTCAGAGATAGGGTGGCTTATCACGGAGAGCCAGCCTGAGGGGGTGCACTGGGGAGTGGGCGAGCAGGGGGGGGTGAGCACAGATGGAGGATGTAAAGCACACCGCAGTGGCACAAGCACATCTATATCATAAGCATCATGCACCCACCTGTCTTGGGTTCTCCCCCCTCCTCATCCTGCTCCTCCGTCCCTGCAAAAGAACAAGCCAGAGCGTGTGAAGCTCCATCCCAGCTCCCTGAACGTGGTGGGTGCCCCTTGTATCGCTGCCATCCCCAGTGCTCAGAGCTACCCCATATCCCAAGGTCTGCTCAGGACCAGGTGCTGCGGAGCCACTGGTGATGCTCAGGGAGGAGGTGAGTGGTACCCACCTGCACCTGGAACCCCATGGTGGGGGTTCCTGCAGCACAAGGCTGGGCTGGGCTGGCCCATCCCCTACAAGCAAAGCAGGAAAAGCCACAGCTCCGGGTGATGCAGCACAGCCACTCACCTCCCTATTTATAGCACAGCCACCATCTGGAGCAGTGCTTGGCAAGGGGCTTAGCAGGGAGACCACGGATCCCCCAACGCCTCCGGGACACCCCATCAGCACTGAGGGATGAGCATCCCCTTCACACCCACCAGCTGCCACCCTGTCTGGGAGCCCAGGAGCTCTGCACCCCATGGGTAAAACCTGCCACCATGCCAGAAAGCACAGCAAAAATCACTGCTCCTGCCTCCCGTGGCTGCCAGGCCCACAGGCAGGGGCCCTGCCTGGATTCTGGCTGGCCAAGAGTGACAGCAAAACGTTATTGCTATGGGCAGGCAGCCATCAGTGCAACACATCACGAGCTGGGAGCTGTGTCTTGATGGTAAAGAGCTGAGGTCAGCTGGCCGGGGGCCACAGCTGAGCATCACTGCACTGCAAATCCCCTGGCCAAGGGGAAAACACTCTGTTAGAGGGGGAAAAAATACATCTATATTATTTTATATATGTATCTCCTGCAGACCATTCCCAGGATAAAACCCTCTTGGTCCCCACTGCTGGGGGCACCCCACAGCCAGGCATCAGGGCGATACGGGCACAAGACAGAGAGAGGAGGAGCGAGACAGGAACCCCCGGGGAGGAAGGCTGCAGGTCCCAGCCCTGCAGCATGGAACTGGCAGGGAAAGGCTCTGGCAGAGCAAACGCCTCGGGAGGCAGCAAGGGGAAACAAATGGGAACACCAGGAAAGCTGCTTCCGCAGCCATTTCAGAGCACGGCAGCTTTTTACAGCAATAAAACCTCCCTCTTTTGTGCAAACACGTTCCCATAATAATAAAAAAACCCAAAAAAGCCCTAAGCCACCAAACAGGAGGATGCAGAAAACCAGAGCGTGGAGCATCTCTCTCATGCCATTTCAGTGTCAAAGCACTTGGTGTTTCCATGGTGGCAAGTGCTAAAAGCACCTTGTCAGAGGAGATGCTCCACGCACACCCAGGTGTGGGTACCAGACAAGCAGAGGATGCTCGGAGTAGGGAGGTGAGAGGGGGAGAAGGAAAAGTAGGGAGCACTTTCACTGGGGAGAGGGAGTGGGGGGAGGAAACCAAGTGTATGTTTGAAAGAGCTGCCTGGAGCAATGCATGCAGCCAGCACAGGTACAGATCTGCTGGTGCCCACCAACCCCAGCAGCTCCGAGCATCTCTAACACCACCAAGGCAAACCCGCACTGGTTACAATTTGCCATGGCTCCCCCCATCCATTGTCCTCTGCAAACCTCATCCCTTTTCCAGGGGGAAACCCACCACATTACCTGCATTTTCCTCCTCTTCCTCACAGCTCTGGCGGATCTTCTTCTGGCACACGTAGGCCAGGACGATGAGCAGCCCCACGACGCAAATGGCAAGTCCCACTGTCACCCAGAGAGCCACGGCAGGGAAGGCGAGGTGCTGGCCTTGCAGGGGGAGGAAAGGGAGATGCCACCACAGTGAGTGGTGCTCCAACAGGGGGGACACGTGCCCAGGGGACATCCCCATGGAAGGAGTTGGTGGCACAAGAGGTGGGTTTGGAAGTAAAACCGTTGGTGCCTCTGATTAAGGCCTCCCCCCACAGGTCTGGATGAGCAGAAACAGCAGGTTGAGGCACTCCTTAAAATACTTCATTAACTTTTAAGTCATTACACTAATGAATTCAAAAGGCAGGCTGAGCTTTCACTTGCTGGGGAGCTCCAAAGAACCATTAGATGATGCAGCGCCTGTTCCCTTTCCCCTCTCATCTTAGCCCAGGAAGGATGGGGACACCTTCCCCAGCATTCGGGACAGCCTGGCAGGGACCACCAGGACTTGGGGCTATCTCCTGGAGCACCAGAACTCCATTTTCCCCTATAATAGTGCTCCTTGCCACAAACCCTGCCCTTCCACAGATGTCACCCCAAGGCTGACCATTTGCTCATGAGGCCATACAAAAGCCACCCCCTCTCCCCAGCCAGCAGCATCCACACAGGTTTCCCTGCAAGAGTTTGCTGCATCCAGCCAAAACACCAATGCTCCACCAAGGACCCACCTTCCCAACCCAGTGCCGTACTGAGGGTTATGAAACAGTAATTAATGCTGAGGAGAACATGAGGTTCTAAAGACCTCCAGGAGGGCAGAACTAGAATGGACCAGGTGCTCAATGAACTTCTCCAGCCTGTAGTTTTGAAGTAGGACTGCTGCAGCTGGGATGGAGAACTCCAAACCCCAGAGCATCCTTAGCATCGCTAAGGAGAAGACAAGCACCATGCCCTGTGCTGGCTTAGACTGGGCAACTAGCAAAGTGAGAGACTAAGAACTAAGGATGCTGGTTCTTGCTGGGATGCTGGTGTGGGGGGACAGGGAGGACAGCACAGCCTCAAGTCACCCTTGCAAGTCCATGGGGAGAGAGGTGGAGCAGAGATATGGGGTAGCAACCCCAGTAGAGATCCCAGTGCCACCACAATCACCTTCTTCAGGCAGTGCCCATCACTTCCCTTCCCCAGTTTGGGCCCCCCAGGCTCACCTGTGATGGTGACAGAAGCTTGGGTCTCCTGCTGCAGCACCGGGTTTCGCACCACACAGGAGTAGGTGCTGCTGGGCTCCACCAGCACCTGGAGCACGCTGTGCACGTCAAAGAGACCTTCTTCGTTGGCCACCTGGGACGTGGTGATGTTCTCTGTGATGTTGCTGCCCTGGCTGTCCTGCCAGAGGACGCTGGCCTCGGGGTAGCCGCGGGAAGCGTGGCAAGTCACCACTGCCAGATCTCCTGGCTTCAAGTGCTTGTTAGGCTCCAGGTTCATATGGGGCTTGGAGTAGGGAGCTGCAAGGAAGAGGGCAGCCAGCATGAGCAAAGGATGCAGATCATAAGGAACCCAATGAGGTTGGGCAATGACAAATTCTTCAAGCTGATAGAACCAACCAGATGAAGCCTCCCCAGCTTTGGTTCATGGCCATGTTTCTATAAGAGCCTCTCCATCACTGCAGGGAAGGGACTGCAGACCCCACCAGCAAGATTCTGGGGAGATCATAGAATCATAGACTGGTTTGGGCTAGAAAGGACCTTAAGATCATCCAGTTCCAGCCTCCTGCCATGGGCAGGGACACCTCACACTGGAGCATGTCCAACCTGGCCTTGAACACTGCCAGGGATGGGGCAGCCACAGCTTCTCTGGGCACCCTGTGCCAGCGCCTCAGCACCCTCACAGGGAAGAGCTTCTGCTTTATATCCAACCTGACCTTCCCCTGTTTCAGTCTGAACACCCCTTGTCCTGTCGCTACAGTCCCCTGATGAAGAGTCCCTCTCCAGCATCAGTGTAGCTGGTTGGTCTCTAACAGAGACCTGACTTCATGGGGAGACCGTGGCAAGGCGGAGACAGAAAGAGACTCCAGAGAGGAACAAAGCATGATGGAGAACCCCTCTTTTTGGGCAGACATGTAGGGACCCCCCAACTCTCCATCCCTCACCTGCCACTTGCAATGTCACAGCAGCACTGTTGTGGTCCTGGACCCGGACAAAGCAGGTGAAGCTGCCCTCATCCGAGATCTCCACACGCCGGAGCAGCAGCGAGACGTTGCCCTGGGCCAGCTGGTCATAGAACAGGGCTGTACGGTTGGCATAGCCCCCACCCTGGTCTTCCAGCTGGTCCCGACCACCAGAGAAGCTGTGGACCAAGCGCTTGGTGTCGGTCAGCTGCCAGATGAGGCTCAGGTCGTTGAGGCTGAAGTTGGCCTCGGGAGAGAAGGAGCAGTGCAGGGTTGTGTCTCGGCCGAAAAGAGCCACCACGGGCTCATCCGGGACCTGGATCTCAATGGCACCTGCAGGAGGGTGGTAAGGGCAAAAGCACGGGGTGGTGAGACCCTGCAGAAGCACCTCCTTAACTCTCCATGTCAGTAACAGGAAAGGAAAACAAGGGATGCCCATGGAAGGGACCCAGGGGTAGGTGGCATCTCAGCTGTGACCATGGGCACCTCAACCTGCACCCCACCAGGACAAGCAGCTTGGTTTTTTCCCATGGGTAGAGGATATATGGGGGTGACAGCGGTGGGGACACAGCCCCGTGTCCCCAGGATGAGCCAGCAGCTCTGGGCAGCACCATGGCCAGGCTGGGAGGCGCTAGATGGCACCAGTGCTCCAGCACAATGCCAACGGCGTGCCACAGCACGATGCCAACCTCATCCCAGTGCCACAGCATGATGCCAATCCTTTCCCACTGCCATGGCATAATGCCAGCCTCATTCCAGTGCCACCTCAGGATGCCAACAACCACGGTGCCAAGCCATGGCAGGACACCAACCCTGCCATTGTATCAGGGAGCAACACCAACCATGCCAGGGCTGCCGGACCCTCCACACCTGGAGCTGGTCCTGGGGTGCCCATTGGCAGCAAGCAGCAACATCCTCCAAAGCAGACCCAGGGCACTTCATTCACCAGAAAAAAGCTCCCCTCAGACCAAGGATTTGCTTTATGTTCCAACCTCAAAACCACTGCAGAACACAACAAAGGTGTTACCTATGGCAAATACCTCTCTGGAGATAACGGCAGCAACGAGCCATTACATTTTAAGCAGGTGGGAAGGAGCCAGGCAGGAGAAGAGTGCTCAGGCAGGGTGCCTGGCTCTAGACTCGAGAGCATCAGGTATCCCTCTGGCTAATAATCAATGCCAGTGGGTTTTAGGACGTACTACCCAGCCTGGCCAGAATCACTGCTGAGTGTTCCGAAGGGATTCAGTCCCAGCATCCCTCCCAGGTCGAGGTGATGCAGCCTGGGAGACCAGGAGATGCAGTGCATGGAGACAGACCCAGGGGAGTCAGAAACCTTCAGGATTTCCTCCTCCCTTGGCTCTGCTGTTCAGCTGTGCCATGCAGGAGGTGGTGTCCCTGCTCTGAGGGTGACCCATGTGCACCAAGAGACATCACTAAGACCCCCAAACCAGGAGAAACACCTCATGGGTGCTGCCACCGGGGACCATGGGTCAAAGGCAGCTTTGTCAGGATGAGCATGGCACGAAGGACACCTCCTTCGGGGTGCTGACACACAGACCCCCCCCAGCCCCACTCACCTGCCAGGCCGAGCACCAGTGCTCTCAGGGCAAGCAGCGGGCAGAGCATCCTTGGCTCGAGCAATGACTGGGGGAGGAAGCAGAAGCGAGCGCAGCCGTGGTGTCCTCACCGGGTTTCCTCTCTCATTACAAGTACCCCGAGCTGAGGAAAAACAGAAGGAAACAATGAGATGGTGCCAGGGACCAGGGACAAAGAGAAGGGAGAAGACCGGCACCATGCAGAGGATCCCATGCCAGCGGCACCCGGAGCACCCACCCCGTTGTGAAAGGCAGGAGGGGGTTTGCCTCCAGCCTGGAACCAGCCAAGTCCCAGGGTTTAGGAAGCCGAGGGACCCGGAGGCAGCTCTGGTGCTGGAGGCGTTGGCCGGTGCCCTGGGGAAGCCACGTGAGCCTCTTCCCCTCCTCGCTGCTTCTCCTCCCCTTTTGTTTCTCCCTTTCCAAGCACAGCGCTGGGCTGTTACATCCCTGTGCTCCAAGAGGAAGCAACGCGCTCCCCATGTCCAAAATCACTAAAAGCTAAACATAAAGAGGTCTGCAGATTCCTGGCGCTGCCAACAGCGAGAAGGCTGCGAGGTTCATCCCCACTCATGAGGCTGCCCTGAGAAAAGGGATACAAAAGCAGAGCATCCCGGAGCTGGATGTGAGGAGAGGTGAGGGCAAGCTGCCCGGCACTGCTGGCTACCGCGGCTCGCTTCCCGAGCATCCCTCCCTGCCGTGCCTGGAGCAAGCCAGGCCCCTCGTGACCGGCATTCCTCCCTCATAGCAGGAGCTGCAGCCAGCATCACCACTGCCGTGTCCCATCCCATCCCATCCCGTCCCATCCCAGACCCCCCTGCTCTGCCTTTAGCACCGACAAGTTTTGACACAACAGCTCCACTTGCAATAAGTCAGTGTCAGGGCACCGGTGTCCCAGGGTGCAGAGGGAACTTCAGCCGCTGGCTCCTTCATCCTTAAAACCCCTTTAAGTGGGGAAACAGCAGCCCTGAAGCTCTGCTCAGCTCAGTCCCACGGGGGAAACCGAAGCATAGGGTGAGACGGAGGCATGGGGGGGAACCCAGGCCCAGGGGGAAACTGAGGCACAGCTCTGCTCCAGCATCCCCTCTCCTTCCCTCCCGAGCACGAGGTTCCTCTGGGGAAAACAAATTCCCCAGCTTTTTTCCCAAGCCATATCGCTGAATCTCACCTTTTCCCAAGGGGATGAGCCCAGAGCCAGCCCCAGGCGGGTGGGAAGAGAGGGACATGCAGTGGGAGAGGGTGACAGGGCAGCGCCCAGCTGCCCATTGAGGGAAACGTGAGTCACCTCCTCCTGCTCACCCTCGAAGCGCTTTCCTCTTCCTGGGGATGCTCAAATCAATTCCATTTTACAGGTTCTGTGACCTATGAGTCCTGCCAGACCATCCCAGAGGAGTCACAGGAAGGGGGCACCCATGTTCCCAACACTCCTTTCAATGGGGCTCCGGCTTTTCCGTGACTCAGTTTCCCCATCCCTGCGGGATGGGCTCTGCCCCAGACCTCAGCTTCTGTCACAAGCTGGGATCTAATGAACCTCACAAATGTGTTCCCATGGACAACCAGGATGGCTGAACCCCTGGGATAATGAAACCCTCTGTTGCAGCAGGACCACACGTCACCCTGTTAAATATTAACTATCATGCTGCCAAAACGCTGCTCTTCTGTAACACCCGAATTACCAGCTGCCGGATTCTCCCCTGTGATGCTGGAAGCGCAAGAAGAGCCTCTGCTGGTGTAGGGAGAAGCCCCAGGCCAACCCAGTTTCTGCGGGAGCCCCCCGGTTTGCTCCTCTCCTCCCCGGGGTTTGTGCCAGCAAAGAGCCCGGCTCTGCCCTAGACTATTTTTAGTCCCAGTGTAACTCGTGGGTGGGAAGGAGAAGGTCCCCGCTTGCACCGCAGGACCCTGTGGGGCTGGGACGGGGGCGGTAGACAAGAGGGGTGTGCGAACCCCGGTCCCAAGGCAGTGATTTGGGGTGCAGCGCGTGGCGGTGGAAAGGAAGGGTTATCCCTCCGGGACACAAAAGGGGAACCATCGCTTCCTCCGGAGCCGGGGTCAGTCTCAAGCGTGGGAGCGGGCTTTACGTTACCGGGGCGTTATTAACCGGATGGGTCTATAGGGATGCCGCCTCCCTGCGCCCCAACGGGCCTCGACGGCGGGACCCTGTGGTGACACCGCCTGCACCCCGAGCCCCCGCAAGGCTCCGCGCAGCCCCGGGGGGGCACGGCTGGGGACCGGGGCAGCTCCATTCATTGCGCCCTCCGGGAACAGCGGCCTCGTTCCCACCCCCGGCCCGAGGGAGGGGAGCGGCAGCAGCGGCCGCTCCTGGGGCCGGGCCCTGCCCCACGGGCCCCGCTCCCGGATGGGATCCACCGGGACCGACTCCTTTCCCCCCCCCCCCCAGCTCCGGTCCCCGCCACGTCCCCAGCGCTGCCCCCCCCCCCGGGGGCACTTACCGGGAAAGCGGCGGGGAAGGGCGGGAGAGCGCGCGCCGCCGCGGGAGGGCCGGTCGCGGGGCGGTGGCTCCGGCTCTGATTGGCTGCGAGCGCTTCCTGCCGCGGTCCAGCCGCGCGAGGAGGAGGGGCCGGGGAGCGGAGGGGGGCGTGGGGGGTAAGGGGCACGGGGGCACGGAGAGGGAATGGGATGCACAGGGATGGGTGCACGGAGATAGGGAATGGGGTGCACAGGGATGGGTGCACGGAGAGGGAATGGGGTGCACAGGGATGGGTGCACGGAGATAGGGAATGGGGTGCACAGGGATGGGTGCACGGAGATGGGGAATGGGGTGCACAGGGATGGGTGCACGGAGATGGGGAATGGGGTGCACAGGGATGGGTGCACAGAGAGATGGTATGGGATGCGCAGGGATGGGTGCACGGAGATGGGGAATGGGGTGCACAGGGATGGGTGCACAGAGATAGGGAATGGGGTGCACAGGGATGGGGAACCAAAGCACATGGAGCCAAGGGTTACACACAGCCAGAGCATTGAGGTGCACAAAGCTCGGGAACTGCGGTGTGAAGCCCTCCCATCAAATCCGGGAGATGCAGACCTGGAGACCCAAGGGACTGGGATACACCCAGCCAAGGGGAATGGGGTGCAGAGAACCTCAAAAGGGGGACTCAGGCCCTCAAATGTGGGCCTAGGGTGCATGGCAAGGCAGGAGAGTGAGCATCTCCTCTGGGATGAACAAAAGGCAGCTGGAGTTTCCATCTGCATAGACCAGACACAGGCCACTTCCCAGGGAAAAACCTGGCTGATGATTCACCTACACAGAGGCAGCTGAACTCCACACCGTGCTCAGGAGAAAGTGCTGCTGGAGGGTAGAGGGGGACCCCAAGTAGGTGGGAGCTGTGGTGCTAGAAGGGGACATCCCTGAGGGGCTTCCACACACAGCATCTCCTTTATACAGCCTTAGGCAGGCACTAGCACCACTCCCAACACACACAGAAGGGATGTGGCCAGAGCAGGGTAGGAAAGGAAGAGGAGGAAGAGCAGGGAGCTGGGCTCTTTGTTAGGGTGATTTTTCAGCAGCACACACACACACACACCAGATGTTTCCCAAAGGAAGCAGCTTCTTGTTTTTAAGCTGATTTTCTTAGGGGGTTCCTCAACGCCAGCAGCTCTTGTTGTGCTCTCAAAGGCTCCAGCAGCTTCAGGCCATACCCCAGAGCCAGGTGCCCATGTGGGAGGTTTGGATCCTGTTGCTCCAGAGCAAAGGAAGCTCCTCACCCTTTTTGATTACAGAGGGAAGCAGGAACAGCCAGACCTGGAGAGCTTAAAATTAAAAGGCAAATAAGAATAACCTGAAACGTGCTATATTTAAAACCATTTGAGTCTTTCCCTCACACTTCCAGACAAGGCAGGATTTTTCAGTGACAAAGCACACCTTGACCCAAGCCCTTTGGCTGATAGCAGCAAGAACGAGAAAGGGTGAAGCCAATGCACTTCAAAAGCCCTGCAACTAAACTGGGAGCCCCGGGCTCCATTTGAGATGTGTCCTGCAGATCAAGTGGCTTTCTCTTTCTGTGCTCAGCCTGGGTGTGTGGACAGCCAATGGAGAAGACCCAGCCATCAGCCCCTCAGTGATGCAGCAGGGAGATGGGTGAGTTGCAAGGACCTTCTGCATGAGATGGTTCCCTCTTCCACAAGCAATAGCTCCCTGGACTTCTCCTGCACCAAAGCTCAGCAACCCAAAAATGCAGGTGGAACCCAAGGATTTTGCAAAGATGTCCCCCCCCAAAAGACATCATCACAGCTCCATCACTTTGTCCCTTCTCCCAACAGTTCACATGATCAAAGCAGCATCACAGCTTTGATACCTTAACTGCAAGCGCAACTCTGCTCCTGTTCGTCTTTGAAGATCCAAAGTGAGCATCGGAGCACCAGGAGCTTTCTCACTGTTAAAGAAGGAGAACCTAAGCAGCTTGGAAACAAAGACAGGTTTTTCAACATCAAAACTAGCTAAAAATTCAAATCCATGCTGTTTGCAAGCCTGCTCATCATTAACAATGAAAGGGCTTCCAGGGAGGGATTTAACCAGTAGATGTTCTCCATCGCAAATGATTGTTTTGGACTTATTTTCCTTCCTCAAACCCTTCAGTACACAAGGTGTGTGCATCAAAATGTGCATAATAATGACACAAAATACAGAGAGGCAAAGGAAAGAACTGCAATTTGCAACTTTAATTTCACACTCAGACAGGATTTGATCAAGGGGAGGAAGAATAACCAGAAAGAATGGATGGAGGTGCTGGAGCAAATCCAGAGCTTCCCAACAAGGTGTCCATAGCGTGTGGGCTCTGTGCATCCCAAGGGAAGCTTGCATGGCTGTTTCTCCTCCCCATCACAAGCATGGAAATACTACACAGCACCAGCACTTTCCAGCTGCCAAGGATGTAGGAATCAAATCTGCAGTGCCCAGGAGGATCTCCTGTGTTTCCTTCCAGCACAGGACATCAGGCACACATCATCTTCATGATCAATTCAGTACAAGGCAGGAGGGTAAATCCCACCTTGGCTACATGCAGATTTCCATCCAACTAAGGGCAACTAAGATGATGAAGGGAGTGGAGCATCTCCCTTATGAGGGAAGACTGAGGGAGCTGGGTCTCTATAGTTTGGAGAAGAGGAGATTGAGGGGTGACCTTATTAGTGTATATAAATATATAAAGGGGGAGTGTCACGAGGATGGAGCCAGGCTCTTCTCAGTGGCAAACAATGAAAGGACAAGGGGAAATGGGTACAAACTGGAACACAAGAGGTTCCACTTAAACTTGAGAAGAAACTTCTTCTCAGGGTGACGGAACACTGGAACAGGCTGCCCAGGGAGGTTGTGGAGTTTCCTTCTCTGGAGACATTCAAAACCCGCCTGGACACGTTCCTGTGTAACCTTATCTAGGTGTTCCTGCTCCGGCAGGGGGAATGGACTAGATGATCTTTTGAGGTCCCTTACAATCTCTAACATACTGTGATACTGTGAAAACTACCAGATCATCCATTTTGGAGCACTTTGGAAGTGAACATCAGTCAGCTCCACGCAGTGGTAACTGGGTTACTCCTGTGGGTGAGTGGCTGGAGCTCCTCCACTGCAGGATCCTTGGACATACGGAAAACAGCTCTGGCTCCTCCTGCTGCAGACTCAAAAACATCACAGTGGCAAAAAGCAAAGGATCAGGAGAAGCAGGAAGGGGGTTTTGAGGTTGCTTTGAACCAAGAGGCAGAGCAGTGAGCCAGTGCCAAGAGAAAACAATCCCAACACTAACCTGGGAGCCTCCCGAGGCGTTTTTGATGAGGCTGCATCCGGATAACCTCAATCCTGCTCACTCAGGAGGAACAGAGCTGGAACACTTTGGATGTGGCCATCCCGAGGCACAGGGTCAGGGCTGGGGATGGTGAATCACTCACCACCACCCGAGCACAGATGGTTTAGGCCTGTGTGTGGAGCAGGAGGCTGCTTTGGAGAGAGTCAGCATTTCTGTGGTACACAAGGATCATTCATAAGCAGAGGGCCGAGCAATGGACTCCAGATGCAGAACCACCCCAGGGGAAGATAGCGAGGGATGGAATGAATCTGATTCTGCACCAGGTACACACAAACCCTTCCTCCTCTCCTTCCCAACACAGACACAAGACCCCACCACCAGGAGACACTCAAAACAGGCTTGGAGCCTTCATCTGCCCTTCATACCAGCTACAATGGTTACCCCTAAATTCAGGGGGGGCTTTATCTGTCCTAGATGACAATAGCAAAAAGTGCTAGAGGTTGCCAGTGCTGGTGCTCCCACAACTGCAGATGAACCACTCTTGCTGACTTGTATTGGGATCAGCACCCCAAATTCACCCTGGGGAGGGGGCACAGATCAGGAAAGCTCCTTGGTGGCACAGGTCAGTCCCCAGAGCAGAGCTGGGGCACATGAAGGGGGTTTTGCCCACATCTGGGCTCGAGGGATGTCCACCTGCCATTGACACCCCCAAAACACCCCCCCGCCCCCAGTTCCCCACTTCACACAGGGCCTCTCAGGAGCAGAAGATGAAGCTGCTCTGTGTGCAGATGGTTTCTGCAGCCTGCTTTGGAGCAGCCGCTGCAGGATGAAAAGGCTCCTCTTTGTTCCAGCTGCATTGCCTCTGAGGCACACGGGGAGGAAGAGCAAGCTGGTAGGCAGAGCTGTGCACCAGGCCCTTGGAGAGCATTTCCCCTCCCCCAGACATGGAAAATGAGCGTTTTTCCTCCCCTTTTGTTTCCACATCCTTCCCAGGCATCCCCCAGTCCTTCCACCCAGCCTTGCTGCCATAAGCAGCTACAGCATGAAGCAGTGAAGCACCTCTGCTGCAGCCACCACTGCTTCCAGCAACCCCACTGTGCTGGGACTCATCAGCACCCAACAACCAGCAAGGGCAGGATGAAGGAAAATGCCTTCCAACATCCCCCCCCCCCCAGTCTAAGAAACATAAGAACTGCTCCCCAAAGTCATAACCCCTCTGTGCTCATCTCCAGGTATTGCCAGAGCCTTCATCTGTCCCTGCAGCATCCTCTGCTGACCCATAGCCACCTTATAGCAGCACAGCCAGGGCCTGCTCTCCCTCATCATCCTCCTCCAGCCAAGCTGTGGTGCTGGCCTGGCCAGGAGCAGGCAGGAGCAATGTACATGAGAGACCTGAGGTGAGAAATGCCCCGAGTCCAGCACTGATGGCTTTGCAAAAGGCACCTCCCTGTCCTGCAGTGACTGGGCACCCCAGCCCTGGTCCTGCCATGGGTCCTCTCTGTAGAGTGAGGCAGAGGTGGGAAGCTGCAGAGTCCACCCTAACATGGGATGAAGATTCCATAACACTGGCAGGAGGAATTCCACAGCTGGGATGTCTCAGAAGATGAATCCATGCAACCTGTCCAGGCAGACACACTTTCTCCCCCTCTTTACCTGATGGATACTCCCATTAAACCACCAGCTTTAATCGCTTCCTGATGATGCAGTTCTCCCAACACTACCATGTGGCCTTCTCCTACCTGCTTGCCAGCATGTGTCCCTGTACTCATCATCACATCTCCTGTGATGTGCATCTCCTGACCACACCAGACAGATCGCCAGCTCACAGAGGAGCAGGCAGGAGCACAGGGCTTTCTGGCTCACTTACAAAGCATGTATTGCATTCTCACCTCCCAGGAAATTCATTCAGTTCAAAGCAGGCTATCTGTAAATATTAGTAAGGTATTTTCTTATCAGGGAAAAGTCACAAAGCTTTTCTTTTCCCCAGGAACACCTCTGCAAGATTGCTTTCACCAGGACATTCGTTCACCAATTCATCATTAAAAAAACTGAAGTTTTATCTCTAAGGCCTTTCCTTTAGGTGTTTTCTTCAAAATCCAGACTGCAACAATAAGCAAACTCCACGTAGAGAGCACAGCAGCAACAGCACAGCCAACCTCAAGTGCACAAGCAAGGGAAATGAAGCAGAATAAATACCTGCACGGTGCCAAAGTGGAAGCACAGCACAGCAGGATGGGGTCACCACGGCCCAGAGAAAGCAGTGACACCGCAACCCAGCCATGCAGATCTTCAGATCTCAGACCAGTGAAGAATGAACTATGCCTGGTCCATTAGGTACTCAACACACACACAAGATAAGGGATACATGCTGTGTCCACAGGAACACCAGGTTTGCCTGCAGGCTGCACAGACTCTTAATGGTTACTCAACACTTCTATTTACCATCATAAGGTATCGTAAGTTGGACTGACCCGACAGCAGAGTGCAACTGCACTAATGCAAAGCTTTATGCTATTCCCCCCAAAATAGAACCTTAATCATCCCTGGGGCTGACTTGATGTAAGCAGCAGGGAGCCAGAGACTGCATTACATCCTAATGCACTTTGGATCTCAGCTCCTGTGTGGGAGATGCCCACCAGAGAGCATGCAGGGCCTGGCAGAGGCAGACAGCAGGTCTCACTTGGCAGCCTCCACCCCCTGGTTGCTGCTCACCATCTGCTGTGAGAGCTCCCAAGGCAGAGCCCGCTGTCAGCTGCAGGCTGACACACAGCCCAGACTCTCCTGCTCAGCATCCCAACCCCTCCACAGCACAGCAGCACCCCTGAAGTAAAGGGACCATGCTGCCATTAGTGTTTCTGCTGTTAGACACTCCAAATATCCCTTTTAATCCCAGTTTCCCAGGGAATCTAAGTGCTGATCACATTGCTTACTGTCCCTCTTCTTCCCTTTAGCAAACTTTAGCTAAGTCTGAAAGGAGGTCAAACCTAAGGGATGCCTGGATTCCTACCAGCTTGGTTAGAGATTAAGCAGGAGTCAGAGGCGCATACACAGCCCAGGGTGGCAGCCAGCTGGCATCACAGCACACGTCCTGGCTCCATCCTAGCCATAATCTGTGCCATAGCTGTCCTGACAGGTCACTGGGGAGAAGGACTTAGTACAGCAGTGGGAAAGGGATGAGCAGAAGGAAAATGAAGGCCTGGGAAGGAATAACCTCCACACTGCTGCTCCCAGGGCAGCTGATTCAGGAAGCTAAGTGCTAGTGCACCACATCTCCAGACTCACCCACACATTTTTGGAGCCCACCCTTGTGCTGCACAGAACAGAGTTTTTCTTCCAAGAAAAGCCCTTCCCAAAGCAGCTCCTCCATCTCACCACCATCATCCTCCTCCTCCTCCTCTTCCTCCAAGGCAGCTGCCTGCAAGGAAAGGAATATGGCAACTGCACAAGTCACCACAAAGCTTGCCTGCAGCTGATGCTTTAGCCTCCTCAACTGCAGCTGTCCCATGGCAACGTGTCAAGTGTATCACTTAAAAGATGCCATGTTCACACCATTATCCCCATCCCAGTCCTCCCCATCACCATCTGTTTGGAGCTGTGCCCCCTCGACAGGTGGCTGGTGGGACAGCAAAAGGAACCAGCAGCTTTTTAGGGGATCTTGCAGCACAGGATACACCGACTGTCTCCCAAATATCCTGCCTCCTGCTTAGGAACAGTCCCACCAAGAGATTCCCACTCATGAAGCCAGGCAGAGACGTTGGCATGACAAGCTGAAGATGAGCTGTTTGTTCCCCCACGTTCTGCAGCAGTTTGATGAGCCTTGGGGGAGGTTTGCAGCACAGACCCCACTGACCTGCTGCAGGATGTGGATGGCCACAGGTCCTACCTGCCCTGGCCGATCCAAGCAATGCCCCACCAGGAATGCAGGTGGCTTCAGGACAGTTATCTGAGCTCCTGCAAACACATTCCTCACACAGCATGTTTAACCCTTTAGCCTGTGGTTTGTTTGCACTGTGCTTAAACCAAGCCTGGAAAAGGGCAGACATCAGCACAAGCCTGAAATAACCACATACCTCTGCACCCTCCTCAGCTGCTTTTAATGGAGACAACTCGGGACCAAGCTTTGTCTGAAGTCTGGAATCCACTCCCAAAGCCCACCAGCACCACAAGGTACAACACTGTGTGTGGAACCTGGAGAGGGGATAGAAGGTGAAGAGATGCTCGTGGTCACAGTTCCACCCCTGCTCCTAGTATCCCAGCCTTGCTGGAGCACAGCCATCCTCCACCACCCACCCAGCCACAGGCTTTGGGAGGCAATCCAGCCAGGACTGCTGGCAAGGGCCTCTGGACATGAGATTCCCAGCCTTCCTGCTGGCCTTCAGGCCTTTCCTCTTACCCCTGGCACACTCCGAGCTGGTTCACTTCCCATCCATCCATCCCCCATGCTCAGCATCCCTCTGTAATGTCCCTTTTAACACATCCTTTGCTCCTCTTCAGCCATTGCCCTGCCTGATTTATCTATTATTTCCTAAACTAGTTCTGCTTTCTAAAAGTACATGAGAAAGAGGTTTCAGACTTTCCACTTAAATAGGCTTTTTCTTCCACCCATGCTTCCCTAAAACTGTAATTCAAACAACTTTAATTGTATGTTATTGTCTTTCTGAGTCGCCCCTATGGATAATTCATCTTCCTTTAGTGTAGCCATAGGGAGCACAATCTTATCTTTCAGCTCCAGCAATGCTGACAGTTTCCTATCTTGTGATACCTTCTGCTCTTTTCCATGCTGGGGCTTTGTTACAGAGTTGATTAAAGCCAAATTGCTTTTTGCTGCAATTTTACCGCAATCTAACCCAGCAATGCCCCAAGAATCAGAGTCATCTTTCACAATGCTCATCCATTCACTGCTATAAAAGTCCTCCCTGCTCAGGGTGGAGGAGCTCTAACTCTGTATCAGCCACAGCGTTTGCCATCAGTTAAGCCTCCCCTGTGAGACAGGGGTGAGACACTGAAGCTGAGCCCCTGGCCACTCACTGCCATCCCCCATTGCTCATTTCCTCTTATTAATCAAAACCACTTCTGCTCAGAAATTGCTTTTCTTTCTGCATCTGCATCCAAAAGCTCTTCTCAAGCCCTTTCCACAGCCGCTTCCTTGTTTCTCAAAGGTGCCAGAGATCTGAAGCCCAAACATTATACCCAACACACACACACAACCTAGATCCTCCATGAGAAACCCCCAGTTCTCCCATCTTTGCTCGTTTCCAGGCCTTACCAGGGCATGGCACTGACCAACAAAGCCCCAGCCCTGAATCCAGCTTCTAATCCAGGGGGTTACGGAAGGGTTTTTAGCTACTCAGGTGACTCAGGACTCCAGCCATCCCCAGTCACCTGGGAGAAGGTTTCTGGATCTGCACAGTGCATCACTCCAGAGTTTCTGAAAGGATTCCACTGCCCCATGCTCCATCCCACCTCTTCCAGCTCCCAAGGAGGGACAGAGCCAAATACATCACAAAATTAGCTCTTTTCATTGCCCTGATGCTGCCTTGAAATCTCACTAGGTGAGCCTGTGTTGCTGGATGAGGAGCCCAAGCTCCCACCTCCAGGGAAAGGAGTAAACCAGACCCCTTGCAGACCAAGGGTCAGACCTTGCACTGCCCAGGGCAGGATGCTAGCAAGACCCTACCTGCTAGGCGTGGACATGCAAGCCCTCCCTTCAGCCAACACATTCCTCAGGTAAAAAGTGAAGCTAAAGGAATAGCTCTTACCTCAGACAAAGGGGTTGAGGCTCCTGGCAGCCCCCCAGGCCCCACACCAGTGGTACCCATACAGAAGGAAAGCTGGCCTGTGAACAACAGACCCATCACCTTCCCCCAGGGCCAGTGAGGAACAGGCATAGGACTGAACCAAGAGATAAAGGCAACCACGGCACAAGTGGGAGCATCATACTGGACCAAGCAACCCCAGGGAAGATGACTGGATTGGATGATGTCCATCTAGAGACAGGAAGACAGAGTTACCTACATAAAATACATAGATCCCACCTCAGAAAGTCCAGCCCAGGAGCCCAGGCTAAGACAGACCCACCTACAGAGCAACTACCTGGCTCCAAGCTTATATGGAGCAATGGGCAGAGGGTCGATGGGGCTCCCAGATGAAGCTGTTCAAGGCCACTAAAGCTTATTAGTGCCTACATGGCTGGGCTCAATCCTTCCTCATGACTGCTGTTTATTTTAGGGAGAAGGGAGCCTCAAGTGTCATCAAATCACTTTTAGTAAACCATTACATCATTAGCTTATATTAATGTGGCCCAGGAGAGCACAGACAGCCCCATCTCAGGAAGCCTGATCAGAGGAAGCCAGTAGATCTTTTGAAGCTAGAATCATAGGACAGAATCATAGAATAGTACAGGTTGGAAGGGACCTTCAAAGGTCATCTAGCCCATCCCCTCTGCAATGAGCAGGGCCATCTTCATCATAGAAAACCCCATAGGTCCAATCTGACCTGCACTACATGGGATTCAGAAAATGGTAATTTAATTGCCACAAGGCGTAAAGGCCAGCTAATACCTTTAGCTTTGATTTAGCTGGTAAAGCATGACCTGCAGGGGATGCTGAAAATAACCCTCATGTATAATAGATCCGATACCCACACATGTGATGCACAGTCCCCGCTGCACTATCACGAGCAATCTGTGCTGCCACAGGCTGTCTGTCAGTCATAATGAACTTCCCCCTGTCCTCCCCACAATGATCCATCCTGATGCTCTTCATTTCATTTTAATCATCAGCGTTTAGTGAAAGGCATCGGCGTTTCTGCCTCGTTGGCTGCGTGCGGCCGGACCCAGGGGGGAGGCAGCAAGAGGCTGCGGTCGATGTGAGCCATGATAGCACAGTTGTCCTTGATGTCTGGGTCACTGGGCTGCCTCCAGCCCCCCCAAACCAGGCTTCAGCCCCTATGTGGGGGCTCCTTTAGGAAGAGATGCATGTCATAGAGGAGCTGGGACCCAGAACCATGAGCTCAGCAGGGAAGAGCAGAGGGCCAGGGTGGCACAGGGAGATACATGGAGTCATAGAATGGTTAGGGTTGGAAAGGACGTTAAGATCATCCAGTTCCAACCCTCAAGATGAGGGCCCATGTGGCTCACTGAGGTGTCCCCTGATGTAATAAACGGTGTGCAGTGCTTTGGGCATGGCACAAGCTCATCTATCTCTTGAGCAACTGATGCCTGCAGGTTGGGTGACAAGTCCTGAGGATGCCAATGAGCCTGAGCAGCCCCACCTGGGACTCACACCCACACCTGCCTGTAGGCTTTGCAGCCTATTTAAGCTTAGCCCAGGGCCCTCTATCCTTGTTTGTGCTCCTGGGGTGCTGGCCTCTAGCTGAGACCTATCAACACCTCTACCTCATGATGGGTCCTATTGATCTGAATCCTGATCCAGACTGATTTCCACCTTAAATCAAGGTCTGTTTTGTCATCTTGAACCTGCCCCAGGACATTGTCCTGGCTGTGTCTGACCTTGGCTGCCCTCACCAGAATTGATCCTGAGCTGTGGGCTGATTTCTTAGCTTGGCCTCAAGCCTACCTTACTGCTGTGGACATGCCTGAAGACTGTGGCTCCTGGCTGCCTCCTGCCCTCCTTAATCAGGTACCTTGGGGCTGCTCCATCCCTGCTAGCCACCATGTCCCCTTGCTTCCCCCTGCCTTAGGGAGCAGTGTCCTTGGTGCTTCCTGGTACAACACCCCTACGTGCTGTGAGCTCCCCTTGGCCAAGGCCAAGTTCACAGGCTAACAGAATCTCAGCCTGGTTTGGGTTGGAAGGGACCTTAAAGCTGATCCAGTTCCAACCCCTACCATAGGCAGGGACCCCTTCCACTGGAGCAGCTTGCTCCAAGCCCCTGTGTCCAACCTAGCCTTGAACACTGCCAGAGATGGGGCAGCCACAGCTTCTCCGGGCACTCTGTGCCAGTGTCTCTGTCCTCAGAGTAACAGATTTATTTCTCATATCTAAATCTCCCCTCTTTCAGTTTAAAACCCTTGTCCTGAATGTCCCTTTTGTCCTGAATGACCTATGGGTGATAGCCCCAGGCCATCCCCCACAGGACACAGATATCCCTGCATGCAATCTACACATCCCTCTTCTGCCTATTCCAGGAAATGAAGCCAAGCCCTAGCTGCAGGCATTGCTCAGCCAGGCTCACGCTCACCCTGAGCAAACCCTGCGCTAATCCATGGGTGCCACCTGCCGTCTACTCCTGACGGCATCAGCCACAGCTTCATCCCCGCATCACTGCCAGCTGCTCCAGATGTTGGTTTCCCCCTGAGCCCTCTCAGAGGTCTCTGGCTGGGACCCACAGCCTGCAAGAACAAGTTGGGGATAACATGGGTGTCCCCCGGTGTGGCTGGATGGAACAGCTCCCAGCGGGAGGAGGATAACGTTATTCTTTTCCTTGAGATAATGAGGTCAGGGAACAGCTCTTGTGTATATGACTGGAAACTAAGTTATTGGAGGCACTTCCCTAAAAAAGTGGGTGGAGAAAATCAGTATTGTATGGATGAAATAATCACAACTGAGAGAAATAACTGTGAAGTTGGGTCAGGAGTGGGGGAAGCCCTTTCCTTTCTTTCTGTCCTTCTTGCTCTTTTTCTGCAGAAAAGAAGGTTAAATAAACTTAAGACTTTTTGTCCTAACAAAGATGAAATCAAATATGCTGATAATTCTCATTGGACTCTTTGTTCACACTAGAAATAATTATGACCAGCACTACCCTTTCTGTCACAATGATTGTTTTGTGTGGAAAAAAAACAGTTCTTTTGGGGAAGAAGGGGGGGGTGTAATCAGTTAAAACACTTTGACCAGTTCTGACAGGAACATTTGAACATAGAGCAGGATGGGGGATTGCTGGAAATAACCAAACTGCCATTACCCAGTGGGGTTGGGATGTGTAAAGGGAGCTTTCTGCAAAATAAGAAAGCACATCTATATTCTTTTATTACTACCCTGGGAGCTTTCCTCCTTTTCTTCCATTTTTCTTCTTCTTTTTTTTTTTCCAGAAAGCCACTTGTCTCCAATTTTAGAAGCTTTTCCTCCAACTTTCGTTCCTCAGAGCATGTTTCTCTATAATTTTATGAGCTTTTTCTTTGTGCTTCATTCCTCTGAGCACTACTTTATGTTCCTGTTCAATCTTTCTCTGGCTCTTTAGGATGAAAGTTTGCAAGCAGTCCCTCATGCAGCACAGCCCTGTCTGTAAGAAGAGCCAGAGAGCCTTTGTGGTGACTCACTGGGATGGGTGTCACCTCTGTCTGATAGCTCCATTCTGTTCCCTGATTAGGTTAATGGTGTTCCCTGCCTGCCATTGTGCCTTTGGAGAGATTAATCTGTATATACCTAACGTACATTAACCCTATGACACAAAGGCCAGGGATACTTTTTTGGATGCTTTAACTCCTCTGCCATGCTGCAAGGCAAGCAAGGAGCACGGAGGGCTGGGGTCTGAGTTTGGCTGGCTCTATATAACATACATGCACAGATGTATTGCACTGTGTTTGCTCATTCATCTCTCCCCCCCTGCACGCACAAAACAAACATGTTATCTTGATCATGCACTCGATAGTGCAGTCTGGTTTGCAAATAGACTCTGTGTGTGTGTCTGGCTCCAAGCTGATTGGAGCCTGTTGGATATGGATCTGGGTTTTCTCTAGCATGTAGTTCTCAAAGCATTACCTGGTGTTTCTCAGCCCTGAGAGCTGCTGCAATAGCAGGGCTGTGCTGCTAGACGTCAGCAAGTGCTTTGTGCTCTACCCTACATTTCCAACTTGCCAATAATAGATGCAAATGAAGGTGAGTGCAAGTGAGCCTCCTAGAGGCAAAGCTTGCTTCAAGTGCCAAAGCATATCAATAAATATATCCGAATAACAGGGATCTCATAAGCCCTTCCTCTCACAAGAAGACAGGCTGAAAGATCATGCAGGAAAACGGTTGATGTTGCTTTGAAACACGAGAATTGAAACTTTAACGAATCTGCTGCTGATTATGTGGGGATTTTGTTCTGAATCCAACATTTGCTTACCACCTTTTGCTGAAGACTTAAGGAATTATCAGAGAAGAACCAAAACTGAGACATCCCAGTGAAAAGATGAGTCTTGCTTGAAGGGAAAATGCAGGGATTTTGAGTTACTGTATTTGGAAACTTTGACACATCAGACTTTCCCCTGCCACTCATGAGCTCTGGAATCACCATATCCACATAAGAAAAGCCTGGGAAGGCTCAACCTGGGGGAATACCAGCTTTTGTAAGAAACCTCTTTCCTCCCTACCAAGCCACTAGGTTGAATTTGTTGCTGGCAAACCCTCATTTTCTCCACTATAAGTGCAACCTGTTGCAAGAGGAGGTACTCAGATGTGGTAGAACAGGTTTTTACCCTATACTAGCCATGGCTGGATGCTGGAGTATGGCAGGAATAGGTCTTGTAATATATATATTTCAGGGAACTGTAGGAACCCTATTTGTTCCCCAAAGGGCTCTTGAAGGCAACAGCAAGCTTCAGATCAGGTCTGTCAGCACAGTCCTCTTCTGGCCATGGCAAAGACCGCTTCAGTTTCCTAGGCAGTATGTTCACAGTATCTCAGGTCTGTGCAATCTTCACTACCTGCTCTGGGTAACCACCTTAGAGCCTTCAAGGGAAACTCCAGCAGAGCAAACACCCAGTGAGCACACACACAGGGTGAAACTGGTGGTAAGCAGGGCAGTGTGTCTGGGGATTGTCTCTAGCACAGAGCCAGAGGAACGTGACGGGTGAGTTATGCAATTGTGGGGAGAAGATCTAACAACACAAGAGTGTGCTGAGCTGGTTATGGAGGGGGAAAGAAGAAAAAGCCTTCTGCTAACTTTGGCCCAGGCCTCTGGCAGCATGAGTCACAGTGAGCTGCCATGGTTACGAAACAAGTATTACTGTGCAGATACAAACCATGCTCAGAGGCAAGTACATTGCTAACTAGTTCCAAACTTGGAAAACAGCTGAGTGTAGGTAAGGCCTAATGCCGAGTGGGTGCCTGCAAAAAGGAGTTGCAGCAGAATCCGCTGGAGCTAACGTTCAGCAGGTGAAACAACATGCAAAGAGCAGGAGGATGGACGCCACTGCCTGAAACCTTGATTTCTGGCTCTTTTTGCCTATCCCTTCTGGTTTGCAAAGGTGACTGTCAGAACTGTTCCACACAAAGGGAAGAAGAGGATGTTTCTGCACCATGGCAAGAAAACAAATAGTAGTGTCACAGATGATTCAGCTGGCATGAATAGTGAGTCATGGAAATGCACCATGGAAATGCTCCAACACGGGCTGCACAGCACAGTGGAATCTCTGATGCACATCAAATCTACCAACACAGCATCCCTGGAGAGTTAGGGGCAGTCAGGGTTATATACAGCACTAGCACATGCCCTAGTGCTTCTCACATGTGACCTCAGCCCTGTGAAGCTGCAGTTGTGAATCTGTGATCATCAGGAGTCTGAAATGCTCAAGAGCAACTTCCCCGGCTTCAAGAGAGCAGCAGGCTTTTCATGGAAAAGGTGTGTCCCATCCTCCTTCCCAGTCTTTGAGTCACACCAACACTAAAAGGACTTGGAGCCTGTTTGCTAACGATCAGCTGAGCATAAGCGGGGCAAGGAAAGGATGAGGGGTACCAAGTGAAGTGGCTGCTTTGAGGGATGATGGGGAGCAAGGCTGCAGTGTGTGCCCTGGTCACACAAGCTCTCACCACGGCAGCAGAGCGGGGTGAGGAATGAGGACAGTTTTGGACATTGCCACCACCAGGCAAGCAGGTGTTGCACCCACTCTATTGTGGGCACACCAGTGCCTGCAGAGATCTCTGGACTGGAAACATAAGTGCAGAAAAATCTGGTTTTGAGGGATTTTCTCCTTCCCCCCCCACTGCTCTGTCCCACCATCTCCTGCAACTCTTGTACCTCCCCACTTTGGGTGTGCATTACAATGATGGGGTCCCATTGAGCTGCAGGCTCCAGCCCTTTGCTTTGACCTGTGAGGGAGAAGAGCTGGAAACCTGTTTCAAATCACTATGTTAGGCTTGCTGTTGGCTGCAGGCTTCAGCACAGCACAGAGCAACCAGTGTACAGCACAGTTCTGACCTGGAATCGGTGTTCTACAAACAGGAAAATGCAGTGAGAGCTGCCCAGAGCTCAGCAGAAGCTGTTTTGCAGGGCATTTGGCATGCATGGCAAGCCAGGAGCGAGCTCCTCTGCTTTTTGTCCCCAGCTCCACCACTAACCTGGGGCAAACGCTGTCGCTTCTTGCAGCCTCGTATTTGTGCACATAAGGACAGGCCCCTTGAAGGAAAACACATTCATTATGGTTTTATGTATGTATAAATGAACAGCTGTGATTGAGAAAACCGTGTTTAAGATAAGTTAGGTCTTTTGTGGCTGAATGCTTTGGTGTAGACTGTGTTCATCTGACACCCTCCGACCCCTGCAGAATGGCACCTAAAACCCTGAATTACCTTTGTGACTATAACCGGCTGCCTCCTTTCCCCCGTATCTGCCGCTGTTATAACCCCCTGAAGAACCGAACGGAGGAGGCGTGGGTGCTCCCCACACCAAACGACGGACTCCGCCATTCCCCACCTCCATCTGCTCTGAGGTGACCACAGCCTCAGACACGGGGCCCACCCCGCAGCACCCGACAGGACCACAGAGCCGGTGCGAGGCCCAGGAGCCCGGCACTCAGGAAGGGAGCCTAAAGGCTGGGTCGGCCGCTAACGGAGCCTGTAACGGGAGACCACCGCCAACATGGCGGCGCGGCTCCGCTGGGGGCGATCCGACCCCGCGTCTCCCCGCTACCCCACTCGGTGCCGCCCCCCCACTCCCCGCCCCTGTCAAATCTCGCGAGAGGTGGCGGCGGCGTCGCGAGAGCTGGCGCTGCGCTGCGGTAGGAGGTCGGCGGAGAAGGACGGAGCCGGAGCCGCTGTGCGCCCGCCGGTGCCCGCCTCACCCCGCCGCCCCCTTCCTCCTCCTCCTGGCTCCCCTCCCCGGCCGCGGACGGAAGGATGCCGCGCTCCGGGCCGCTCCCCGCCGCATTCTCGCTGCTGCTGGCGACGGCCGCGCTCCTGCCGGGACCCGCCGCGGCGCAGAACGGTGAGAGAGGGCGGCGGGCGGGGGTGGGGGGGGCGCTGCTGTGGGGCTTGCTATGGCGGTGGGGCGAGAGTCAAGCTCGACACGATAGCCTGGGGCTTGGCGGCTGCCCCCTTGAGCCCGGCGGGGTCCGACCCCGTTTTGGGGGGGAATCCCCCGTGTTTAAGATCCCTCAGGGGAAGGGGGGGTGAAGGGAAAGGGGGGGCTGAAGGAGAGGGTCGTCCCGTGTCGTCCCCCCGCCCTTCCCTCCGCTTCTCCTGAGGCGTCTCGTGCTGCCGGTAAAATGGAACATCTCCTCCCGCCTACTGAACCTGCATCTGCCGGTTTAATTGCTGCCTTAAATCATTTATAATGCAATAAACCCGTAGTTCCTTAGCAACTAAAGAGGTCTCCTGATAGGAGCGTAAAAGAAGAAGGAGGAAAAAAAAAAAACCAAACCTATAGCAAGCCACCCTTCTCCCTCTCGTCGTAGGATAGCATGAGCTAAATGTAGCGCACCGTGCCTCCTCCCCGATGAGCCTGCAGCCAAGTGCATGACAATTAGTGGCAGAACAAAGTGGGGCCAAGAGGCTGGCCTAGCCGAGCCTCCTGCTCGGAGCGCGCTCCTGCAGGGTCTGTCTGCTCCAGGCTTCGGGAGAACGGGCTTTCTGGAGCGGCTTCTTCTGCAGCATCATGGGGAGGCTAATGGCAGGGATGCTTTGGCCTGTAAATGCTGTGAAGAGCAGGCAGCTTGGCTCATGACAGGCTCTCCGGTCTATGTGTGCTAGGAAAAGATGCCTAAAAGGGAAGGGTGCCTTACTAATATACCAGTTCCACACAGGTTTTCATCGTTTCATCCTTTTCTGCTCTGCAGATATAACTCAGTCCTAGCGTTTTCCTTCAGCTGAGGAGAATTTTGCCTTACAGCATGAGGTCAGCTTTGCTGGCTGTTTGCTGCAGAAGAAACACTGGGGCTTTCAGCATGTTGGACGATAATGGGAGAGATGCAGATGAAAGAAATAATGTCCAAAAGAGCCCAGATCAGAATTATTGCCATTATATGTGCAGGTTTTTCAGTCTGAAGCCAGAGTTGGGCCTTATGTCTCTGTTAACCAAACAGAAGCAGCTGTGGCATCCACACTGCATGAATGGAAGCTGTTGCTTTCTGAGGGCTTTCTGCAATATGAGGACTTTCTGTGGAGCCTAAAAGAGTGTGGGCTAATTCCACTGGAGTTCAACAGGAGTTATGGACCTGGCTTCCAGGAGTTCCCAGGAACGAACTGGCTGGGCTGGGCTGTGGCTAAAGTCTGGTTCTCAGTTGTGGAGATGCTGTGTGGTAACATACTCGTGACAGGGTTAATCTGCCCATGCTGGGTTTCCTCTTGTATTTGGGTGGAGGGAGGAAAGCAATCTTCTGACAAGCAAGTTAAATGGGTCGTGTGCCTGAAGCTGTTCCTGTGCAGAATTAGCAGGCAAGGCGTCAAATGCTGGAAGCTGCTATAACAGTTCCAAATAGCTGGTAGGCAGTGCAAGCATGTGGTGTTTGACAGTAGTTATGTGTCTGGAGGTCAACAATGAAGTGAATTTTTGGGATAAATGGAAAGCCTTTCAGTTGTCTAAATCATGACTTCAGTTCCTGATGGGAAGCTCACCAAGCAGTAGCTGCTCTTGGCATGAGGTAAGACTGCAGAGCCCAGAGGTAGCCTGAAAGCTCATTTATTTTTATTGGGTTAACTAGGGTCATCCAAGCAATTAAATGGGAAGGGAGACTCTGCACTGCTGTAGGGGTTTATTTGGGTGAGTGAAAATCATCTTGGAAAGGAGCAGAGTATTCTGAAGCCAACTGAAAGGTGGAGAGCCTTCTGAATAAGGTTTATTGCTGCTGTTGAATTTTTACCCAATATGAATGCTGTTCTAACATAGTAAAGCCAACTTCAAGGTTGTAGGCCCTGCTGCAGAGGAACTGGTTGGTTTGTTTTATTTCAGCAAGAAATGCTTCATGAGGCTGAACAATTCCTCTTTTGCTTTGGCATGAAGAGCAGGTACAGCCATTTCCTGAGTTGTGTGTACTGATTGTAAGTCATTAGAAAAAAGATGTGGTTTGAACAGATGTGTGCAAGTATGCGAGTGACAGCTCCTTTATAACATGGCTAACACACAGGTGTGTGCTTTGAAGGTATAAGGAAGGATCCCAGGGTGTATATGCAAGAATCCCCTTATCCATTATTGATACAGAGCTGTCAGTGTAGTGAAAGCTGATAGCCCAAGTGCTGTTGAATGTACAGTAACAGCACACAAGTTTAGGATGGTGAAAGAACCATAATGTACTTGTTGAAGCTGCAGGGCAGGTCACCACTCACATGAAACACAAAATGCCCAGTAGGATCCTGAGTGGCTATGGGAAGCTGCCTTTTTTTGTCTGCTTCTGACAGGAGATGGCTGAAGGAAGAATTGCTAGTGAGTTTTCCAGAGTGAATGTAGTGCAGAATACTCTGAATCAGACTCGCCTATAGATTTAAGCTTACTAAAACTGGAAGTAGTTTTTTGACACTTGCATGGATTGTTTTTTAAAGCTTTTGCATAAACACCTAAAGATCCCAGGAAAGTTTGTATGGCAGAAATGTAACTTTTCCTGAATATTCGGAGGGACTTGTTGGGTTCTTTGAGGCTGCATTTCTGATGCACACCAGCTTGTCACTTGTATCCAGAGCATAGTTTGGTGACGGAACAGAAAGAAGTTAGAAGAGGGATGAGGAACAGCTGGAAAAAGCCAGTCTGTCAAGAAGATCTGTGTTAAACCTGTAGTTTGCAATTGGTATTTGTTGGAAAATCACTTTAGAGCTTCAAATGGAAAACGTCTTCCTCATGGAATGGTACTTTGCTTGCTTTTTGGTGATGAATAACATGTCTTTTCCAGTTGCTCATTGTTAACCTTTGCAATATCTTTGTTTCTCCAGCTCCTTGTTTAAAAACAAAGACCTTAGTGTACTAATACTTCACCTTAGAAGGTCTGGATTTAAAGGAGCAATGCTGTATTTTTTACTGTCATCTAAAATAAATGCTTGGACTGCCCCCATGAAATCTGCAGTGCTTCTTCAGCACACCAGTATGAGTTGGATCGCTAGGAGTTTTTCCAGCGCTTCCATTTTCAGAGCTTTGGTCTGGCAAAGTGTACTTCAAACCAGTCTTTGTCATGTATTGTGTAGAGAAGGGAAATCTTACATTTCATCACATTTGTAAAACTGAAAGCTGGCTTAATAAAATGACTCGGGTTGTTCAAAGCTGGACATCAGTGGAAATACAGATTAAGTTAGGTGGTAGTTGCTTAGCTCTGCTCTCCTCCTCCTCTGGGTGAGTGAGGAGGAACTAACTAGCTGGCTAAAAATGGAACCTGGCTTTTCTCTTGGCAGAAGCCAATATAGAAGTGACCATAAAGTCAGGGAAGAGTGGTTGCTTAAGATGAGATCCTTCTTAAAAGAGCAAGTGAAAACCCCTCCTTTTATCCTTGTAATGCTATTTCTGGCTGCTGATTCTCATCCATTTTGCACTGATTGTATTCTGACATGACTTTAATGGTTCCCAGATAAAACTAAGAACCAGCATTTATGGAGCATGAATGTGGGCTGAGCTTCGAGGAGAATGTTCAAAGTTCTGGTCTCTTTCCCACCGTTGCTATTCTCCCTCCTACCACTCCTGCATAGGAAAGTTAAGTACAAGCTGTGGGACTAATGCCTAAACACTGAAATTGCACTGAGTTCTGACAGATCTCAGCTAACAGGTAAAGAGGATATAACTGCTAGAACTGAGAGGTCCAACAATAGTTTTAATTATGTCACACTCAAAGGGAGGAACTACATTTCAATGCTGAAATACTCTGAGTGTTAACTATCCTTACAACATCCTACTGTATTAGGACTACTTCTTGTGAAATTCATGAATGAGGTGCATTATCTTCTTCACAATGAGCTGTTTCTTTTGCTGCAAGTACTACTTCAGAGGAGGCAATTGTAAGAATTTCCATTGTAAAGGACAATGCTAGCCTGTGATTCATCCTTGGGTTGTAAAGCCACAATGTTCAAGCTCTTCTTCACTTCCAAGTGCTGGAGGTGCTGCAGCTCCCACGTTGATTGAAAGTTAGATAAGCTGCTTCTGTTATCTATTGGCTGGAAAGTTCTTCTGTAAATCTAACCCAAACCTGCTCTCCTATCAGTTTAGGCTTTTTATTCTTATTCATGCCTTTCAGAATGGGGAGGAAGAGGTTGTTATCTCTCATCAGCAATTCTGTGCAGGTGAATTGTCATGGTCATTCTTGATAAGCTGCATTTTCCTGGCCCTTCTTGGTGCTTTTCTGCACATTTTCTTCAGTCACGTTTTCTGGAGTGTGATGTGTAAAATTGGATGCTTCCAGCTGGGACCAGACCAAGATTCAGTGGAGTGGAAGGATCACTCGATGTGTCTTGCATATGGCATTCCCCTTTGCATCACAAGACCTTAAGAACAAGGTTTCTTATTGTGAAACATATTTGACTCGTGTCCAGTGGGATCCTTCGTGGTGGTCAGATCTTACATTGCAGGACTGCTACTTTGTGTTTCTTTACTACCTAAGTAGATGTTCTTGGTAAGTGGCATCTCACCTGCTTCTGATGTCTTCCTCCAGCTGTTGAAAGTCTTGGTTTATCTTCTGGAGCATGCACCCCTACTTCAGCTAGCTTTGGTTTTATCTGCTTAAGAGACCCCTGGAGCCCATCATCAGTCTTATTTTATTCTGTTTTCCATCTCCTCACATACTGTATCTCATAAAACCCACACACATGATACACCAAGCTACATTAATGAGATTGTATTTTTGGTTATGAGGCCCTTGTATAGGGCAGTATTAAAAGCTTTACTAAAATTAGGAAAACTGCTTCTGTTCTTTCTCCTCTAGAGTCACCTTTGGTCTTTATTAAATTTATAGCAGGAGGTCAGATAGTCATGGGCTGTATCAAACCATAGGTATGAATACAGCTCGATTCTTCCCTCCC